CACATTCTTAAGCCAGCATGAGGAAGCCGGCATCCCTTCTTGGAGCCAGAAAAGCCTCCTGGAAGTTCTAGATGCAGAATTTGCAGGTAGGTAGCAAATGTTGGGCTTACTGTGCACACATTAAGGATGCTCTTGAATCTGACTGTCAAAAGTAGTCAACAATGACTACCTACAACAAATATCAACAGTGAACTTAACAGCCTGTTCCTGAAATGGAATTCCAGGTTTTATGCTGGTGGTAAATACCCGAAAGTCAGAGTAGCAGTTCCCAGTGCTTCAGCACTACCTTCTATTAATACTAGCCTAAGTAGAAGGAGAAACAGTCTTTTACCTGGCTTTAGTTCTAAAGAACAAGATGCAGTTATTTACAAAATTTTGTAATGTATGCTATATAGAATACTTTAACCTAGAGCACTTAAAAATCTTCCTGCAGTCTCTGAACAGGCTTCTGCAGTCAACTACCTGCAACAGGAAACAGTATTTCCTCTTGTTCTCTGAATGCTGCTGAGACTTAACTCCCTGTACTGGTCCCTCTGCTCTGTATTATCAGGTAAGATAATACAAGTCTTTGTTGTTTTATTAACAACGCTAAGTATACAACCAAATCTCACCAATCTGTATGCAGCCAATACATATTCCAAAATTATTTTTACAGAAATAATGTAACTTGTGGAAGAGCAAACTAACATAAAACTTTGCTGATCTTTGATAACACAAGGCATCATGTCCTAACCACTCAATGACACTAACTAAAACATATGACAACCTACAGACCTCAGTGTCTCCCTCTTTGAAAAAACTTTATTTCCTTTTTTTAAAAGCAGGAGATAGCACGGCAGTAAACATTTTGCTGCCACTATACTTCCAACAAGCAGATCAACATGTTTCCTTCATTACGCTTTTAGCCAAACACACAGCGCATGCAGAAGCCAGAGGAGAGGCAGATAAAAAGAGAGAGAGAGAGATTGATGCTGGTAATAAAACGTCTGAGATACAAATGAGGATAAAAAATGGGGCCATTGCATAATACTACCTAAGTGTAATTTTATAAATTAGGAGAATATGGACCTTCATTGGTCAATCCATTAGTTTTATGTTTTGTATAGTATTTTAAGGCACAAGCTCAAGTCAGAGTACTTCTAAAAATAACCATCTTATTTAATAACTTCTTGTGAACTACTGCTATTGAAAATTGGATAATAAGTAAATTGTAGATATATAACACACATACTATACTGCACAACTGCTAAGTCAGCATAATACCTAATTAATATTTCTTCATTCCTAATTAATATTTCTACTTTTAGAAAAATCATTTTAGGAGTTCTGCTAACATTTACAAAAATTACAGGCACAAAGCTAACTTGTTGTCGTGATGGGGGAAAAAGTCTATTGCATATTGTGGAATTCAAAGAGAATATGAATTTCTATTTTATTACTATACCATTTTAGAGCATTCAAGCTTGACTTCTCTTGCCACAAAGCAATACATTTTAAAGAAACTCACTTTGATTTCATTTAACTGCAAAGAACCAAAGACAGCACCTCATTCCAGACAAGTGGAATTGTCAAGGTGCTGACTGGGCCTAAGTAGGTACACGCTACTACTACGCTATAACGCTTGGAGTTCAACAAACTATGAAAACCTTTCTGTAACTTCAGTAAGTAGAAATTTTAAAAAACTTTCTGCCTGTTCCTCTCACATAGGCATCAGTTGACCACATCCACAGTTTCAGCAGTGCAACTGGTGACAATAAAAATGAACAGGTGAGAAGAAGCTTTTCCTAATTATTGGACTCTTGAGGTGCAAAATAGCCTCTTCAAGGACGTTTTCTAAGAAAATAAACAAGCAGCAAAGTCTACCTCATATTCTCCACAATGCAGAATACAAAGTTTCTCTTGGAAGATCTTTCACTTCTTCAATCAAAGACCTTCTATGTAACAGCAGAAAAAAATCCCTGATAGTACATTCACTTTCCTTTTTGGCAATCTTAGCTCTAGGAGTGTCAATTTATCCAATTCCAGAGCTTTCATCAACAATTAAATGTTAAAGAAATTTCTTATGATGAATCTACAATTTCTATTTCTGAAAAACAGATTTCAGAAATTGTATCAGGTTATCTTTCTTTTATCTTTTGTTGTACCTTTGTCAGAATGCATGTTCAGCTGACTTCCCACAGCATTGATTCCATTTCTCTTGTCTCTGTATTCCTGGTGTCTTCTGAAGCTTCAAAGCTATTTGGTGATGATTTGGACATATAAAATTAAACAGCTCTGAACTCGGTGCTCAAGAATCAGCTTGAGAAAAATATTTTCTTGGAATGAGAACCACAGAAATAGGCGTAGACATAAGAAATAACCCTGAGATCCTGTCAAAGGTTTCCTCTTTTTCCACTGGATATAAGACATTATGTAATACAACATTACTCCTTTAATTCACCTTGATCAAAACTAATGGCAGGCTTTTGGACTTGATTTAGCGATACCTCAGTTTGTAAGATTTTCTGTCACATCATTTAGAGGCCAGGATGTTGTTTACTCATAGCAGCCTTTCTAATTTTCCAAAATAATAGCAGATGACATTGAGCATTGCTGGACATGCACCCTAACATTAAGCTGTATTCCTGAATGAAGAGTCTCTTACAAAGTTAAAAACCACATCACAAATGCTTTATGGACCCCAGAGAACCTCCAATTCCTCCTTGCCTCTTCAAATAGCTACAATTGCAACAGAGATCTTCAGTTTCAATTGAATTGTTCCTTTGGATCTATCATTGGCTTAAATGGTCTGTTCAAAAATACTCAGGGTGCTATCCTGCCACCAGAGAAGAATGTATCCATATTTTTTTACACCTTCAGTTTGCAGTTTAAAAAAGGCAGTCTAGGTCTTGCACTGTATGTTTCATAATTCTTATCAGCTGGAAATTTTTTAACCGCTTCACAAGATCCAGTTCACCAGGCAGCCAGGTTATCTGCATTTCAGATATTAAGATTTTCCTTTCGGATGGAGAATAAAGGACAAATTCCTTGTACAGTCTTGTGGTGCCACATTGATACTTCAGCTAGCAGATTCGGTACTACAAATTGCAAAGCCATCCTTTGTGGATAGTGTTCACTAAGTTTTCATGCACTTAATACTCCAATTTTCTTCATCAATTGCAGTAGAATCTAACCATTCCAATATCACTAATGGGTACTACAGCCTGATAGCTTTGAAGAAGGCAAAATAGTTTTTGGAATCTGATCAAGAAGGATGTTGACCAATCGCCAGCCACAATACCTTGGTTTGTACTTCCTTCGAAGACAGTGACCCCTCCGGAACGTGATAAGGATAAATGGTTGAAGTTGCAGGCAAAGCAAAAAGGGTCCAGTTTCCCTGCAAGTGACTGACTGACTTCATCGTCCGTAAGAGCATGTTCACCATTTTTGCTGATGTGAACTCTCACAGTTGGATTCTTTGGAAACAAAGTGTCATCAAGCTGAAATGCCTGTTAATCCAGTGCTTTCTCTTGATTTTGTGGAGATCATTCAGAAGAATGACTGGTTGAGTGAGGATGGTATTTGTCTTATCTGTAAGCACTAAACCTAATATCTTTCTCCTATATTAGCTTACAAAAAAGTGTCTTTGTATGAATATATTATTACTAATTTAATCCATATTGATGTTTTGATGATAAGCATGATAATAAACAGTGGCACTTTCATATAATACACTAACGAGGCACAACAAACTGCAGAATATGTATCAGGTGCTTTTAAGAACACATACTTGATTATCTTTAAAATTACTTGTCTCCTTGTTGATCCAGACAGCAACTGTTAATCTATGACAGAAAAACTGGTAAGCACCTTTCTTCTTAAAAACTTTTTTATTAGATCTTTTGCCTAATCATACACTGAAAATGGAAAAAACCCTGTCTATTACTAAGTATAAGGAAGTGCTAGGAATGATTGCTTGAGAAGCCGAAGCTTTTGAGAACAAATTAGGCACAAATCAGCAAGGTATTGCTTACACATAGAATTCCTGCTTAGGGACAAAGTGACGGAGTAGGTGAGCTCCTTACATTTGCATTTTGTATGATGCTCATTAATAGAACATTCACATCCAGTCTAGAACTTGGCCCACAGTGTGAGATAGAGCAAACTCATTTTTCTAAGAGATCTTGTTAACCTTAAGAGATTCTTTTAAAATACAGAATAAATAACTGTATGTGCTCAAGATAGATTCAGTATTGCAGAAAACCTCAAGCCCATCTTTTTAAGTCATCCATTAATCTGATAATATGCTGAAGCCTAATACATAGTGGGGCATTTGTCAGTATTTTAAAAATTCTGTTTTTATCCCATGATGTTGTGAATTCTAGTTTATCTTAACATCTTTCTCCCTTTTTTCCCCATCCCAATTACAACTATGCGTATCTTCTCAATTCTTGCTAAGATGGTACTATACCTTATTACAGAAGGCTATCCTGAAGCTGATAGGAAAGTATTTACAACAGTATATGCATTTTGGCAGATCAGAGCTTTGGGAATTAATGAACTTCAGATATCATAAAACAACTAGTATCTAGACAGGTAATTAGTAATCATAACATGATGACCATCTTTACAGAGTCTTTCCAGTTTCATTGGCTGGAATTGGGTCAGACTAACCAAAGAAGCACTTTGCAGCCTGGACATCTGTAAGTTTTTTGTAAGTAATTATTTTTATTTTATTGTAAGAGATAAATAAGGATGCTTTTATTCTATAATTTATGCTCATATGTTACGTAGCAGTTGCCTAACTACACTACACATCATAGTGGTCCCAGACTAGTACAGTGATTTTAAAACCATGCTGAACATGGCTGCAGATTGATCATGCAAAATCTGCCCCCCCGCCCAGCTGATTTTGCCCCACTTGTGCACAGTGCAATGCAAAAAAGAAAAAAGTAAATAAAACCAAAAAAGTGTGATGGGCGAGCAGGTCGACTGTGTGAGAGAACACGTGCAAAGTATACCTCAGAAACACTATAGGTGGATGAGCACGAAGGGAGCCGAGCCTGGTTGTGCAGTGGGGAAAAGAAAACATTGTTAAAAAAGAAATGGTGGCACAGTAAGGGTCTCAGAAGGTTTTCTGTATAGGTGGTTCCAGCACTGAGATAATAGCAGGGGATTCATTATGTTTCCATGACCAGCTATTTCAGAAACTCCAAATTTATGCCTTTTAAGGTGGAAGCTTCTTAAAAGAAAAAAAAGGTACTCTAATTATAAAATAATTAAAATGGTGAATTTGTCACTCTATCTATCACTAAATAACTGACAACGCTATCCTTAGGACAATAAGGAATTCTAGGATGAAGCTTTACCAATCTCTTTCATTTAAAACTATTAGTTTCATTTTAACTCTGCAAAGGGTACAATGTGAAAAGACTTAGAGGCCCTATTCTTCCCTATATTACCTTCATGTTTTCAGATGTTCAGAACCAGCATTTTTGACAACAGAGGTTTTTCTTCAACCTCACTGCCCCAGAAACCAGAATAACTTGCAAAGTTAAATGACTAATGGCCAGATATAGGTCAGTAGAAATCTGCAGATTATGTCCCTAAGCAATATAAAGTGCTGTGATTCTTGAGGGACACTGTCCACTGTTAAAAGCTTTCAGCCCAAGCACAAGTTAGTTGGCAACACTACAGTTTTACTTATTGCTTAAGAAACCCCTTTTTTTACAAGATACCAATTTTTCTGTACTATTAATCACTCAGACATAACTCAAGTATTAAAAAAAGACTCTTCAGTTACTTATAGGATTTCGTTTCGTAACATATGTGAAAATTCTTTCTTTGGTTGAAAACATTTCATGTTTCAATTATAAAGAGTAGTCTGAGTTCTGTCTTGCTTCCTCCCCTCCCCTTAACTTTTGTTAGATTAATAATGATCTGATGACAACTGGCTGTGAAGAAAGAGTAAAAGCAGCCTAATAAATGAAAATTTAAAAGACATGGTTCTTATAAATGCATTTAAAATCTCCTCTTGATTTTTTTCTAGTGGTGGAGAAATGAATTCTCAGAAGCCCCAGCAAAACTTCCTTAGAATTCAATCAAATTAGTATCTGTACAGCAGTTTGGATACGTTTGTGGTAAAGATGAACCCAGTAAGAATTTCAACATAAATTATTAGTGACCACTTGCTGACTTAGGTATTATGATGGACTGAGCAGAAAACATGGTACTCATAAAAAGTCTTTCATGAATATTCTTCAGTCTCAAATGTGAATTTTGTAATTCTTCATTGAAATATGAAATATCACTTCCAGGAAAATCTGACAGTCAAATTTGTCTGTGTTCATTTATGTCTCCATTATATACTTCTATACTGCTGTTCTTTCTTCACTGAAAATTTTTCAATACTTTGAAAATATTTGTGTTCCCTTCTGGCATTGCTCTTCTAGATGACGTTACTAAAGAAATATGAATCACTTCACAACCTCTTAAGTGTTCAGGCACACTCAGCACTTTCTTCACCAGATGAAATGTTTTCTTATAGCGAGATGATTTACAGAAGGATTAAGCCAAAAATAGAAAATTCCTTCAGACAAATAGAAAGATTAGAAAATGCAATTTTAAGAAATCAAGCATTATTCTTCATAGTGTATTTTGTAAAAAAAAAAAAAAAAAAAAAAAAAAAAAAAAAAAGAAAAAAGGAAAAAGAAAAAAAGAAGAGAGACCCCATTCTGAGAGCAAAATCTGTTTCTAGGAACATCGCTTTGAAAGCTTTCTTAAGAAAGATAAGGTGTGCTGTTGCTCTGAATAGGGGTTCTGCTATTCATCTAAGACTTTTGGATGAGTCTGTAATCAAGATTCTCATAAATAATATCAAACCATTGTTCCCATGGTTTGTCTTGCAACACCGTGGAAAAAGAAAAAAACATTAGCTTTGGTTTTGCAGGTGAGGACCCAAAGAATGCAGTAACAACAAGATATATCACAGCAGCAGCTTTGTAAGCATCAGCAACTAAATAAATAGAAACAAAGAGGAGGAGGTTTGGAATTGTACTTCACAAAGTTTTGAAGAATTTGGCTCATCTTGTCTACTCCTCATGCTAATTTACAAGGTGTACAGCAGACACTTGTGTACTTTTTAAATCTTCTCTTATACAACTAGTATAAGTAGAATTTGTCAAATTTTCCTTGTCAAATTATCCTGTGATCTAATTATCCATATTTTTGTTATCATCTAAGCTTAATTTACCATTTGACTTCGGCCTTATTCCTACAAGTATGTAATCACTTTAAATAACTTTGTATTTTCTTTTTCATAGTTCCAGTTGTACAGAAGCAAATGCTAATATTCCCTTCAATAAGATACCTGTATATTTTATTTCTCCCTATGCTCACACACACATTTTCCTTAATCTCTTAATTTTACTCACTCCAAATCTTTTGTTATTCATACCTGCATAGACTCTCAATTTACCTGTCATTTTCTCATAATCATGAAATTGAAGGTATGCTCAAGTATTCCAGTCTCAAAATGATTAAATGAAGAAATGATTATGCTTATACCGCACTTCTGTACATAGTGATTGCTCTTCATTTTATTTTCAATAGGATCATACTATGCGACTGTTTAATCTGCTGCACACTTATAATTTCCTCATCATTTCTATGTCATTGCTTTCTTGTCCATTTTTGAGCATCTGCCTGATTTCAGCATTTTGTAAGTGTATTGCCTCTGCTTTATTAAAATTAAATGTAAATACTTTTCCAAGCTCCTTTGATGATTCTGCAATCTATCAGCTATTCTGCTTACAATTTGTTATATGAACTCCAGTGATAGCTTCTTCCGGTTTGAGAGAGGGGGCAGGTGTGTCCTACCTAACAACCACTATATATTACGTTAGGTGAAGCTAACGTGCTAACATTTGAGCTCTTGGGCCCTTGTCCCCCCTGAATGTTAACATTAAGGGCCCATGTTGTCAGTCACAGAAATTCCCCACGGTGAGAACAATTTTAGAAGAGCTATGCCCATTTCCACCAACTTGAATCTTGTTCAAAGGCTGCAAGAGCAATTTGTTGTTAGTCTCAGGGCTGGCTTGACTCAGATCTTTAATAATGGAATATCAAGACCAGGAATAAAAGTCCTGCAAATGTAATCCTTCATCGTGATCAAAGGTGGCAGGTACTTAAAGTAAGACAGAACACTGCATGCAGGTAAGAGATCCAGCTCTGTATGAGAAATTATAATCCCAGTTTCATTAAACATCATCTGTTTGACAGCATTTGGCCTCTGCCATGAATTCTGAGAACATTTTTCTTGAACAAACCTTTGATTTGAAACTATGCTGGTCAAAGGCCACACAAAAATTGTTTTGCGTATTACTCGGGAAATCCGCGTAGAAGTTCTAGACTAAAATTTATTTTATTTTTCTGATGGGCTTTCCATAACACTTTTCTGCAGGATTTAAACTTGCATTTAAAATTCTTAGCCTGCACAATTACAAAACAAATGTATCTTCAGAAGATAGATTGAAGCAGTATTGTTCTGTTGAATCTCAACTGAATTCCACGCTTTCAGGAAGGTATCAATTTTAGCAGGTATTAAGAGTTCTAAAATATAAACCAATCAGCTGTTTCACTGTTGCTCATCTCAGTAGCCAATGCACTTATTTCCTACTGCTGCATTAATTTGAACAGCAGGTGAATGCTAACATGTCCAAATGATAGAAGACTAATTTTTCTAAACGATATTTAAATTCAGCTTCAACCACAGGTCTCTGGGAGACATCAAAGAATTAAGCCATGAAAAGAACTGGAATAGCTGCAAGGAAGATGAATAAAGATCTCAAGAAGAAATGGAAAAACAAATCGCAGGTCAGGACAACTTTTTTTGTAAATGGTTATGCGTTACTGCTGATATTAAAAGCAGTGTTTTAAAATGAAAACTCACCCCCCCAAACTGCTTAATAAACTCAAATTTTCATACCTGTTTTCAGGGGAATTTTATTTTAAATATCTGTCAGGCTTTCTAAACTGTTGGCGGAATTTGGGATATTCTGCAGAATTCCAATGTTTCTACATATTTCCAATGGCCTTTGAATTTAATCTGGAAAGCATGTCTTTGCAATTCATTCTGGAATGAAGGTTCCACCTTAATGGTATACACAATTGTGCAATAGCATTTTATTCTCATTAATGGGGCTGGCCATCAGATACCATATGCTCCCCCCTCCACCATTCAATACATTTGCCACTTTATAGGAGTATTAACAACGTACATCTAAACCCCTTTCCAAAAGCAGTATGGAAGAGATGAAAATTATTTTAAATATGAACTTATAACAGATCCCTCACTATTTTCTTTCCAATTTTCCGCTATTTAGTAAGGGCTTTTTCTGTTCTTTCATCAGTCATTTGTATATTGTCTTTAAAAATGTTAACTTATCTAAAACATCAATTTTTACAGCAAAATTCAGAGCAGCAGTGACAAAGCAGCAGATTTTAGTTATATGTTATTATACTTGCAATGTGTCCTACTTTTTTTAAGACATTTAAAGGCATATGCAAAATTTCTTAGTTCACAATCTGACTTCCTTACATTGTGTAGGGTATGGCTATGCAATAACAGATAAAGTGGCACAGAGGAACAGGACAATTTCATGACAACTAATTTGTGATGGCTAATATCATCACAGCTTTTAATTTGAAACGTTTCCTCATGTGACATTCTGTGAAATAATGTATGATTAAAACACCTTTTTTCTAGTACAAAGTTTCACAGCATATTTTTTTTCTGGCTTTGTATTTATTCACTACTATTAAATCATTAATTTAAGAGTGAGGAGTTTAAAATAAAGGAACTTGCTTTGTCTTGAATATGACTAATCAATTTGAGATAGCACCAAAACCTGATTATTTTTTTTAAATTTGCCAGGGAAAAGATACAGTCCTTTAATAAAATTTACTTTATAGAAAGCTGCAATATATTAGCAGCTCAATTTCCTTGTATTTGACCTGCAAAAGATTATAAACTCAGAGACTTCTATTTGACAATGAGCAGAAATCAACTTTTATGTCAGATACATAGCTGGATATGCAAACACATCCAAAAGGGGTAATGATCAAATCATTATCATTACCAAAACTAACTTGCACTGTATAACCATAGTGGATTATGCATTAGAATGATAGTGCTGAGAATGATAACAGTCATAGAGTATGGAAGACACAAACAGGACATGAATCTAAATAAATTACTCTGAGACTCTTCACTGGATGGAAGTGCAAAGAGATAAACTGTTACTAACTTTCACATCTACTATGCTCACAACTGTCCCTTTTTTCTAATTTCCATTATATGCTAAATTATGCAGCTTCAATTTACTTCTGCAGAATTAATTGCTGAAAACCTGGTCTTAATTTATGAGATGAACTACTACACACAAGGTATTGCTCCCTGTATTGTTATGTTGGATTTGACTTGCTTTATTAAATAGTTCTGTGAAAAATGGACAACTTTTTGGGGCGTCACAACTGACATGCCAGATCCTAATCCTTTTCTCAATATATGTTATTTTCATTAAAGAACAAATCTAATGCATAAAAAATTCTGCAGCATAGTTCTTATATTATCCTGCTAAAAAAAACCAAGCAACAAAATTTGCATAGCTGGCATCCAACCAAGTATTAACCTATTTTCTAGGTACCCAAAAAGATTAAAGGCAAATACAGAGGTACATGTGAACCTATATGCTTTTGGGTTACCTTATATCAGCCATAGTTTTCAGTTCAGGTAAGGTTATCAATCCCTGGCAGACAATATTTTTATCCTTTAAATTAAGGATATCTATTTCATTTGTGGCCAAGTTTAATGTTCAGGAACCTTTTAGATATGTAACCTCAATTTTGGAAAGGGATTTTTTTTAGTTGCTGTAAAGCCAAGCAGTTTGATTAGCATTCATTAAAATGTAGTAGGATATTCTTTCAAACAAAACCTATCAATTAGAAATGAAACCCCAGCTAGAAAAGAAAGAAAACACAAAGGGAGAAAGAGAGAGAGAAAGGAAAAAGACGGGGATGAGAGGACAAACCAATCAGATTTGGTGTTACCAGCCAGCGGAAGTTTTAAAAAAACAGATCACCGAGTGAAATCGTACATTTACTCGGAGAGAGCATCCTTTGACATTGCCTTCTAGGTGATCTCTGAGCTCCTCCAGCTTTCGATGGAGCTACATGTAAACATCAGAAAATGAATTGAAAAAGCAACCTGTTCTCTTGTCATGCTTTTTTTTTTCTTTTCTTTTGTTCTTTGTTTTTCTGGCTTTGTTTTTTTTTTTTAATAAATCATAGCATAACACATTTCTCACTGCCTCTGGCAAAACTTTTCAAGACATCAAAGTGCTTTGAACGACACGACACACAAACTCAGTAAAGTTGGAAACTGGAAATAAGATACTTCTGCTTGATTAATATGGCTCTTTTTTGAATACAGGGGAAAAAAATTGAAAAATCAACAGACAAATTATTCTAAAGCAAATGAATCTCTGCTACATTGTTAATTTATTTAATTATTTGCTTGCTTATTGGTAAGACTGTGTCTAGAATTTATTTCCATCAAAAAAACTTTTTTGAGGCAAGTTTCCATGTTTGGGAACATCAATTATGATTTCCCATTTTCCATAAGGATATTCATATAGGATTTTGTGTCTAAAAATGTATTTTGTATTGTTAAATTAAATCTTAGGCAGTCAGATACAGAAATAATTACCCTAAATCAGGTGTCAGTGGGTGTTCATAAAAAAAGTGGGCATCTATTCATAAAAATGAATCCCGGCACCTAAACAAGCTACATCTTCTGCATAAGTATATGCATTATGCATCTAGAACTGTACGTGATGACTCATTAAAATGCACAGGTCACAGTAATTGCATACACAATTTTCAAAAACAGCATAGAAACTGTGGCTGTCTTGTATTTTCCTCCATGTAAATTCAGTGGTGCTGAATGTCTCCCACTGGAACAGTGTCTCATTCATGTACAGTGCTCTCATCTCCACTGTAACTAAAACCTCTGCCCAAAACACAAGATGCAAAGATAAAGCCTCACAGACAGTGAGGAATGCTACAGATGCCTCTAGATATAATTTGTATAAACAAATAGCAACTGGCTTCTTTTTCTACACTGGGATCAATTTAAAAGGTGGCATTACTGGAAAGAGGTTCATAACTGATTCTTCCCCTCCCCTTTATGCTCAAGTGAAATCACATTTTCACAAAGAGCAGCTGTAGAGCAGCGTTAAAGAACAGAGAGGATGGCTTGTCCTGGAACAAAGGCAATACACTCACATAAAAAACCAAAACAAAAGATCAAAAACCAAGAAGGCAGGAAAGGCAAGAAGAGTGCACAAGAAAAATTAAATAATTAGTGCTTGAGAAAGTGTTAAAAGGAAATAAAGTGGAAAAAAAGTGAAAAATTGGATGGCTGAAAAAGAGGCAACTGTTGACATGGGACTTTAACAGAATGGCCTGGACTGCACATGATCAGCATCTTGGTAGAGATTATGTCCCGTGTTTTAAACCATTTATTAGAGTGTAAAACTATGCATGTGGGTACTGATTTAGACATCTGCTTGTTCTGTTAAGTGCTCTAAATGTTTTAGTATGTTTGTACAAACATAAAAAAGGCAGAAGGGACTAATGATTACCAAAACAGTGGCTCCATTCTTATTAGCCTCACATGAATCTCTCTCTCATTTCCCCTTTTATTTACTCTGATTTTTTCTCATTTAAAGGCTAGATATACATGAAATATTCAACTCTCTTGTAATGGTCCTTTGCAGCATTAAATGCAAAAAGTGTGAGCACTATAAAAGTTTAATTTAGGTTTCAAGATGAGAAACAGTAGTCTGAAGATGAGTAAGTCACTTCTCCATGTAACAGGCAGTTAAGATACAAGAATAAAACCATAGATCAGAGAAGTGGTTTAATCATGATCACCAAATTACAGGCACTTCAAGAAAGCTGTTACTATCTCTTATTTGTGGTGACATTCAAAGCTAACTAACCGGCAGCCTGCCCTCAGTAGGTTGTTCTATGTGTAGCACAGAAACAAACAAAATGTGACCCAACAGCAATAAGAATACTAAAATAAAAATGATGGGATGGTGAGAAATGGAAAAGCCCCTTCCCTCCCTCCCCTCACCTCCCCCTTCAACAGGACAAGTGTAGGCTATAGAAGAAAACTTGCAAAATAAATGTTAGAAACATATTTACTTTGAGGGATCCAACTCTACTAGCAACTCCTTTGCTTTCATCCGGCCGTCTAATTTGCTACAATGGGGGAAGATGGGTAAAAAAGACAGAAGATAAAGAAAAAGTGAACTTAAAAAAATTTCCACACAATCAGTTAGCAGTACATGCAAGACATCAATTTGACTCTCTGAGACACCTCTAGAGGACAAAGACACAGACTCTAATCTCTGGAATAAATGATGCTTTATCACAGCATTTTAAACTTGCTTTGTTGATCATTTTAATTGCAATATATTACCAATCTGGCACATATGTTGCATGCTGAATTCACTAACATTTTTTAAAGAATACAAGTTACTTATCTGATTTGGATGAAGAATAACGAAGTCCTAAAACTCTAACTGAATTAAAAAGCACCCAATACCTTCTACAAATCGTATGATCATAGTATGCTATAACTGGGAGTATCAGGCCTGGCAAGTATCATGATTGATATGTGACAGAATGCAATACCGATTCCTGTTGACCCAGGCCTAGAGATCTTAGCCACTGCTATCAAAATTCCCAGTTAAGAATTATGCTGCCCAACCAGAAAATTTTAATGCCAGACCAACATTAGATTTTTTTTTTAAATATATCATATATATAACCTCTCCCCCAATATCTCCTACCTGATTACTTTTCCTTTATTATATATGTTTTTTTCCTAGATGATGCAGAGGATGAAAGAAACAAATGAGGTAGCTGCTCAAAAGGCTTCATACTGTTAGAAGCATGTAAAATAAAACATTAATTTACAGGAAGAATTATTTTTGGAATTGCCGAATCCAGTAAATAAACCTATTTTATTGATAAATTAAACTTGTGTCATGTAATTTGAAGTAGAAAGGAAGAACACAATAAAAATGACTTTAGGGATATCCTTCTAGTCTGAGTCAAAACTGAATTGAAAGTTTTTATTATCTGATGGTTGCTTCACAGGTTGTGTAAAACAAAGACCCATAGAACTGAGGTGAACCCTTTCAAAACACATTGTCTTTTTTAAAAGAAATCTCAGCAAGGAAGCCAAAGACTTAACGAACCATGGAAATCCAACTATGCTTTATGTTCTCTGGAGCACACTCACAAAAGTCCAAGTTAGATTGCCACTGTTCTGTTTTCACCTGACCCATGGAAAATAGAGAAATTCATATTAAAACACAGTCAACTGAATGTGTTTTTTTTTTTTAACTTGTACTGGGTTCTCAAGAAGTCATGCAACCAAGCAATATATTAAAAATCTAAATATTTAGTTCTGATGGGATGTCCACTAGCAAAATGCACTTTATGTAAATTATTGCTTTCCTTCCCTGGTCTTATGGCATTAAAATAGTGTCTGTTTTGAACTCTCAAGTGAAACACCCACATTACTATTTTGATGGGACACCAAGCAAACCTCCAAGCAATTCTAGTATACTGCCCAAGAGAAAACTGTCATTACGAAAGAAAATATGTCTCCTTTAGAAGAGAGATTCAATTAAAATATATGCAGTTTTAACCCAGTTGCTATATTTTTCCTAACAACAACAAAAAAAAAAATAAAAAAGGGAAGAAAGATCCTTATTTGAAAAGAAAACAAAATGAGTTAGAGCAAAGATACTTGGCCCAATACCCTGGTTGACATATTACCAGTCCCAGACAACAAGACATAATCAAGTAGAACCGCAATTCATGTTATTAATTTGAAACTTTTTTTCAAAAATAATATATTCAATTTTGTTTTGAAAAATGAGAAATAAGAAAAAATAAATTCTGATAATCTCACATAATGACATGGAACCAGGACATTCAGGAAAATGCTACATACGACAGAAACTTGGGGAGAAGTTGTAAGTGATAGCAATATGCATCCACCTTCAAGGAAAAAGCTTTTCTTCTGTTACTTCCCTATGTGGACATTGTGGCTGCTCAAGTTATGCTGAAGGTTTAGGATTCAGTCAGAAATGAGACCAGAGGTGCACATAACTGACATTATTTACTCTTTCTTTCTTCAAAAAAAATAGATGAATACATATGCAATGCATACATTGCGAGCAATGAAATTATAAATGCTTGAAAATATAAATTACATGGAGATAACCTAAGATCAACTCTTGCTTTACACCCATAGCACAGTTAATATACATGATAACTTGTTTTCTACAGGAACCTTGCAGAATGCAACTTGAGTGCTTCTCAAGGGATGAATCAGAATGATATCGCTATTGCACCAACTGCATCTGTTCTGCGAATTAAATAGGATATTACCAAGAAGGCAAGGGACAGCAGGAATAAAAAACCATTTTTTTCATGGTAAATGCCATAGAAATGAATTCAGGTAAATCCTTATCTCTCTCTGATCAACTCCTGTATGATGTTCTAGAAGTTGCCTGAAAAACTAACATTTCAGAAAACGGCATGGATTATACACTCCATGTTTCTCAGAAACTCAGCTAGACACAAGAATCCCATCTATATGAACAGTTGTAGCTAGAAAAGATTAGCATGAAAGGTGTGCACAATCTATCCCCATTGGTCACTTGCGTGATCTATAAATGAGTTCTTTGATTTTTCTATTACCCATTTGTAAAATGAAAACAATACTTCCTTCTAAACAAAACAGGGTTAATAAAAAGAGCCTGAACAGTGAAATTGAAAAAAACCGCACACGTTGTGCCTCAGGGTTTATGACTTTTTTTAATACCACAACACAAGCTGAGTGAGTGGACTAAGAGATGAGGCAGAAGCAACACTAATTAGTTACTAGCAAAATGTTACCTGAAAGACCGGAGGATTTTGGAACAACCTGAAGGAGATATTCAATGTAATGTAGCAAGAAGGGTGTTGTGTAGGGAACATTCCAGGAAACTGGCAGGGTATAATACACTGACAGTTAAGATAAATGCATTATATTTATATCCCTTTCTTATTCACAAGGGAATAACAGTAGGAGTTAAAAGCTGAAGATTAGCCACAGGTATTCTAGTATCTGAAGAACAAGGTGGAGTACAATGGGAGTAGAACGGGATAGGAAGGATGTGGAAGAAAACTTAGGAAGGAGGGAAACCAGAACCAAACAGTGAGCAATAAGGAGAGCTCAAATATGCTTAAAGGACTCGTTAGAAGATGAATGAAAGGCTTGGGTACCAAAGAATGGACACTTAATGGTTTCTAAGCAGAAGTCTTCTATGTGGTTTCATTATTATTCTTTTACCTTCCAATAGAGCCCATAAGAAATGTACTTGTTTCAAACCCGATTTTACTCCAGAAAAAAATAATTTAGAAGACCTCACCTTAAAGATATATAAACCAGCAGTTATACTCATCATAAAGAACAGCTCTGAAAAACTGGCAAATCTGAGATTCTGGCTTCAGTTGGATTTATTTAAAGGAAGAGGTCCACAACAGGAAATAGCCTCAAATACTTAACACCATCCATCTTTAAACTCCTTCCCTTTTCTCATGGTTTCAGCTGGAATGGAGTTAACTTTTTTGTGAGCAGCTGGTGTAGTGCTATGTTTTAGATTTGGAATGAGTAATACTGTTGATAGCGTACTGGTGGTTTTAGTTTGTTGCCGAGTAGTCAAGGCCTTTTCTGCTCCTCTCACTGCCCCACCAGCAAGCAGGCTGGGGGTGCCCAAAAAGTTGGGAGAGGACACAGCTGAAACAGCTGACCCCATCTGAACAAAGGGATATTCCATGCCATGTGACGTTGTGCTCAGCAATATAAAGCCAGGGGAAGAAGTGGGGGACGTTCAGAGTGACGGTGTTTGTCTTCCCAAGTAACTGTTACACGTGATGGAGCCCTGCTTTCCTGGAGATGGCTGAACATCTGCCCATCCATGGGAAGCAGTGAATGAATTCCTCATTTTGCTTTGCTTGCATGTGTGGCATTTGCTCTACCTATTAAACCCTCTTTATCTTAACCCGCGAGTTTCTTTTCACTTTTACTCTTCTGATTCTCTCCCCCACTGCAAATGGGGGGAGTGAGCAAGCAGCCGTGTGGTTCTAGCTGCTGGCTGTGCTTAAAACACGATACTCTTTCTAATATTATACCCTGTTCTTGCTACAATAAAGTCTCCCTGCTTACTGCTCCTGACAATGAAATTGGAATTTTGCAGGACCTTGTGCTCCTGACCTACTTGCCTCAGGGCACATGAAGTTAAACGGTGTGAATATCCTCTACTGAATCCTAAATCATGAAAGGTGACTGCATCATATTTGTCAATGTTACTACACATACCATTAAATGTTTATTGAGTTGTTCCTTTTAAAAGCAGGTTTTGGCTGTGAAACAATGATATTCACAAGTTTGTACATGCTATGGGAAAAGAAGACCCCCCTTGTTTTTCCAGTTTTACCTGTCATTACTTCCTTCCAGTTACTGTTTCATCCCAAAGTGCGGGGCATCATGGTAAGAAAGGGATTATCAGTTTTGGAAGTTTACAGCAAAACTGTGCACATGATGCTCCTACTTCGGACCATGTCCTTCAGCAGAATTCTACAATATACTCCAAATCTAGTCCCCTTCGCCCTACCCCTCAAGGGCTGTTCAACCGACCAAGGCAAAATATGGAAGAACAACAATGGGATAAACCTCTCTCCAATTCAGTGTAGCTTGAAGAGATGTTCTGTGAGTCAGTGAGAAGGGAAATGGATGTGTAAAAACAACATCTAAATGATCTTAAAGATAAATGCACTGAGAAGACAAAAACATTAAAAGCTTAGAGAAGAGAAACTAAATATAAATCACAATATATTCAAACAGCTCCCACATAAAGGGTCTTTGAGAGAATACAATATATTAAGCACAAGGATATTTAGGAGCCATCAGCAATTTGTTATCAAAAGCTTGGAGATTCCTCAAGTTGATATAGAGCATTCAACTAGGGAAGAAGGGGATCCAGTTGATGAAGAGAAACCATAAAAGCTATACTATTCATATTATCACACCATTCTGTTTCAGAAAAATGTTCTTGAAATCTCCAGTATCACACAATTCATATTAACAGATAAATGTATCTCAAAAGTATAAGCCAACTGGCAGTGATTTTACATCA